AAATTGCATGATAAAAACAAGTAAGAGGGGGGGATGATGTGTGTTCATGTCCACAACCAGATCTGGATATGTAAGAATGGTCCAGTCCAGCAGGCAGACAGATACTCTAGCTCCTTTGATGAACATACCCCCCCAAAAAAGGAGACGAGGAGGGCTGGTCATTCGTTCGCCTATTGTTCAGTTTCAGGTAACACCTCGCCGATCGCTTCCTGATAAGCGAACGCATCATGTAAGAGATCGAGATCATCTGTGTTGTCCTCTTCTGTTGACTGACCCCTTTATAGCAAACGTTATGTAACTGAAGTTACTGAACTCACGCGCAGAACACAAAAGAAGAAAGGTGAGCGCGCGCTGAGATGATACAACACATGACCAAACCGGTATTTCCCAAACAGCAAAAGAATATGCAGGAGCTATGTATGTATGAGGCTATGATCTATACATATGTGAGCCAGAGAGGCAGAGACAGATCAAAGAAAATGGCTAGCCTTCACATGAAAATCCCACAAAAAGCGCCAATCTCAAATCAAAAACCAATAAGTATATTATTTCTGGGAAATTTTAATCAGGACCCATCCACAAATAAAGGGGGAAAAAGGAAATGAATAGAACTGACACGGATGAACACTAACAAATTCCAAACAAGTATCATACAGTGTGCATGTATTGTTCTCTAGATTCAAGAAGAGCTTGAGATGTGACATGCATGAAGTTCTTGGCACAAAAATGTCATGCAAGCATGCAGGTACGTATGGTTCTCCAGATTCAAGAGCGAGGAGCTAGAGATCGATGATCCCAGGAGTGACGACCACCGTGTGCTTGAAGAAGGCAGGTGGGTTCTCGCCAAAAAAAAAGGCAGGTGGTCGGGGCAGGTGACGCGCACGTACCATGAGGAGGTGGAGAACTCGAAGAGGCGGCCGCGGCTGGAGAAGATGACGAGGGCGACCTCGGCGTCGCAGAGCACCGACAGCTCATTATATTCTTTGACAGCCTCCAGTTCCGGCGCTTTCGCGAACGTCACCTGCTTTGGCTGATCACTTGTTCTCGATCCGCTTCAGCTCCACCTTGCCGCTTTACATCCTGCCTGCTTCTTGCTGCTGCTGCTGCTTCTTCGATTCCTTCCTTCCTTCTCCTCCTCCCTATCCCTAGCTAGCTCAGCTTCCCTTCACTGCTAGCTAGCACTCTACTAGAGAACTAGATCAAGATCTCCTCTCCTCCCTCTCTCTCTCTCTCCTCTCTCTCTCTCTCTCTCTCTCTCTCTCTCTCTCTCGTCACCTTTGTATCTAGCGGCCATGAGCACTAGTCGCAGCAGTAGTACTGCTTTCTCTCTGCTGGTCACTATTTGCCTATATGTACTCTTTAATTTGCTGCTCTCTCCTACTCCTAGTATATATGCGTACGGCCATGGCTCTTAGCTGCTATCTGCCTATGCCTTTTGCCCTTTAATCGACCCTCTCTCTCGAGATCGCGGCCCTGACTCTCTGTCTCTCTCCTCTCCCTCTCTCTCGCAAGTCCTGTTTACAGTAGAAAGTCTCTCTCTCTTCCTCTCGGCCGGTCTCGTCTACCTGTCCATCGATCGGCCTGTAGAGAGAGAGACACACAGCGACGATGGAGGATTGAGGTCTCTGTGCTTTTCTCTCTCCCTATCACTGTTGCTTTCTCACAGCCAGCCGTGGCGACGTGATTGGTCCCCTGGCCTACCTGTGCGTGCTCTTGATAAGCCCACATGGCAGCGGCGGTGTACCCCTGGCTGTCGTCCTCTCCGCGCACGCGCGTCACGCGTGCCGCTGCTGCGAGTCAAGCGTAGGGCAGGGAGAGAGCACACGCCGAGCAGCGTAGCATATATAGGCCGGGACGACGTAGGGGGTGTAGGGTTACGTGTCGATGGCTTATAGGGCTAAGTAAAGGTAACGGGTAACCTCAAGAGGAACCTCTTTGACTCGGTGCAGGACTAAAGTTTCCTTATAGCATGGGATGCTGATTAGTATGATTAAATAGGAGCCTAATTATAAAACTAATTACACGGATATGGATTAATTTATGAGATGAATTTATTAAGCTTCTAATTAGGCTCTGTTTGCTTGTCTTATAATCCGTATTTTTTCAAATTTGTTTTTTCAGCCGGAATCCGTGTTTTTCTCTCTAATAAATCAACCTGAACAGAGCTTCGCTTGTTTTTTATGAAGCTAACGGGCCTTAATCCATCATTAGCATATATATTATTGAAGCACCACGTTGTCGCATCATGGCTTAATTAGGTTTAATAGATTCGCTTCTCACAAATTAGTCTCCATCTCTGTGCACTTAGTTTTATAATTAGTCTATGTTTAATACTCAAAATTAGTGTCAAACATCCGATGCGATAGGGACTAAAAATTAGTCTTCATCAACTTTAATTTGGTTTTTGGCTAGTGAGTTAGGCCAAGTACGTACATAGCTTGATGAAGAACACGGAGATTTTTCACATGATGAAATTACATCCGGTCTGCTTATCATGTAATAATAACGGTATGTGTTAATACACCTCCTAAATTTATCACCCACAAACACGTCCAGTGCCTTCAGGCAGCGTACTGTAAGTCGTTACACCGTACTCAAACGGCGGCCCCTAAAAAAAGATTGTGTTTTATTTTGAGCTTCATTGCTAAGTCAATATTTCTTGATAAACTTATTAGTCAAAATCCACTGACCTAATAAGTCATATAAACTTAGAAAGTTTGACTTAATTCAATATTAGAGTTGCCTCCATTTTGGGATGAAGGTAGTACTTTTTCCTATAAATCTAGTCAAATATATTTACTTTTTATTTTTTCAATTACTATATCTAAATGTACACTCTTTTTGGATGAAGTAGTGATCAATGCAAGAATCACTGTACTTCTAGTGTGCCAAAACATAGACTAGCAAGGGTCACTTGTACTTTCCACATCCTGAATAAATATATTCTAGAGTTGTCTTAAGTCAAACTTTTTAAACTTTGACCCGAATCAGAAAACCCGTTAAGATTTATGACATCAAGTTAGTATTATTAGATATATACCATATAATATATTTTCATAATATGCTCATTTTATGTCATAGATGTTTCTCTTTCCTATAAAGCTAGTCAAATTTAATATAGTTTAACTTACACAAATTCGAGGAATTGATTTATTTGGGGAAGAGAGGGAGTACGCTTAATTGGTTTAGGAGCAAGGTGTGTGCACAGGGAATTAATAAAGAAACGCCCGAATCTTAAAAAAAAAGCAACCCTCAGGTGCTCATAGCAGAGTCATAGGCAAGATTAAGAAGGACGCCTGAGCTTAGATCCAAGATGAAGTGAGACACCTAACGTACGTGCTTTATTCAGGGCGAGGGCAGGCCGGCTTTTTGTGGCATCATTTTTGTTTGTGACTACTGTTTCCTTTTGCTTTTATTCCTACCTGGTTACGATCGACTTTACACTCTCATCTGTACTTTGGTTTGTTGCATTGTCCTCTTTTCATATATATATCATCCTTGGGCTGGTTTCATTTTTAAAACACACATGGAGTTTCTGCTTTGCCTTCTATTACAGGCATGCTCTACAACTAAATATTACCACCAGGAAGCATGTGTTATGTGTACATGCATGCACATGTGTCCAGCACCCTACTAAAGATGGTCAGCCTGTTCGGCTGAAGGAAAACAATCATAAATTTTCAGACAGAACAATATTTTTCTCTCACACAAAACCAGCCAACCAGTGATTTTTCTTCACGAACCGACAGCGATCTGAACCAAAGCCAACCGAACAGGCTGGGTTTTGATAGTCAGACATCAGGTTTTTAAATTAGGTTTTACTAGCAGAGAACATGATTATGTATCACATAAAATATACTCATAATCTTAGTAGTACTAGTGACGTCGAACTTATCCCATTTCCCATATTTGAAATAGCGATGGCAATGCAAGGACAAGGATGATATCTGACCTATTACAAACTGTAGCTAGATTCTAGTGTCTAGCAAGGCACGTGACTTGGG